GTGTGCAACTGCCAAAAAAACACCACTTTATGGCCAGCTCAGTTCCTGAGGAGGGTGACTCACTGGGGCCGGAGGCGGCGGAGCTGGCGGAACTGTGCTGGCTATGGGGGCAAAGGACTTTGGGTCCTCAATCTGGGGCCGGCAGCTCCCAGGGGTGCTGGTGCCCTGAGCTGCTGGGGGAGCAAAGGGGACCGGAGGGGTCCAGGAGGAGCCACGTGGCTGGGATGATGGGTTTGCTTGGACGGTGACAAGCAGCAGGTTGGGGAAAGTAAAATAAACAAGGAAAAGCAAACAGCTGAGAGCTGCCTTGGAGCTGCAGGGACCTTGGCCCCACGCGCTGCATCCTGGAGACCATATGGGTGTCCCCGTCCCGGGGTGTCCCCACGCAAGGCAGCACCGTGTCACGCTGGTTGCTAAGAGCCAGCTCCCCTGCGGGCAGCTTCGACACGAACGCGGCGGATGAAGCCCCATTAACCCCGCAGTATTGCTGACATTTCCTGCCTTGTGCAAACCATTCAGCGGGCGCTGAGCACACACAGCCCCGTGCCGTCTGCCCGGGCAGCGCACACAAAGCAGGAGATGCTCTTTGTCTTCCTGCGCTGGGGATGCAGGGAGGAGCCCAGCGATGTGCCATAGAGCAGAGCGTTATTCCGCCTCTTTATGGACAGCTGCGTGGGGTCCCGGTGCCAAAGCTCGTAGGGGCAGGGGGCTCACAGGAGGAAGGGAGCACAGAGCAGGCAGGCAGGGAACTCAGCCTGGAAACAGCGTCGGTGAGGGTGGTGAAATGCGCTGAAATCGTAGCGCTGCCGTGCAGGAGCAGAATGTGGCAGCGGTGTCAGCGTGCCCGGGGACACAGCGTGCCGTGGGTGGGTGACTGCGGGCAGACTCTGACCCGACGGCAGCGCTGTGACATCTCGGATTTCCACGGGGAAATCACAGCGATCCCAATGGCGGAGGGAAGGGTGCCGTAAATCCCGGAGCACAGCGAAGAGGGGATGGAGCTGTGCCCGTGGCACCATCCCAAGACGTGTTCTGCCCTCCAAAAGGCAAAGCCCCCCCCCGCGCCGGCTCAAGGTCCCCGCAGGGCATCGTGCCAAGGGACTGAAAAACACGAGCCCTGACACACGGAGCTTAAAAAAGCCAGAAGCTGTGCTTCTTTCCTTGTTTATCCTCTTTTTCCATGACGGCTGTGGGGTTTTTTTGCTGCTTTTCCAGCATTCTGCAGTGCTCCTTAGTGGCTCCCCTTAGATGGATCCCCCCTGGGCTGTCCCCATGCCACCCAGTGCTGTCCCCAAATCTTGCTCCGTAGAGATGGGAGCTGGGATAATGCTGGGACCACAGACAGACCTCTGGGGGCTTCGAAGAAGGGAAATCCCCACCCGATGAGAACAGCAACCCCTGCAGCAGGTGCTGGAAAAGGGACAGAGCCAGGGGTGGCCCCAAGGCATTCAGAGCTGATGGGACACCCCACATTCAGGCTGAAGGGAATCCCCAAAGCACGGGCACCGCTGGGAGGGTCACCTCAAAGCCATCCTAGGGGAAATCCTAAAGGAAGGGCTGCCCCGGTACCATCCAGGGGGTCATCCCAAAGCCATCCGGAGAGGAAATCCCAAAGCACTGGGGGAACACATCCTGAAGCCATCCCAAAGAGCTGGGAGGGGGTCACCCCAAACCCACCCTCAAGGGAGCCCAATGCATTGGGTGGGAGTCACCGTAAAGCCCTGGGGAGGGATTCCCCAAAGCTCTCCCGGGGGCCGGAGGCAAAACAGCATGCAGAACCGAGATGCCAACCCTCAGCCCCGGCAGCACTCACATGTCCTTGGCGGGCAGGTTCCTGCCCTCCACGATGCGGATGGACAGCACGCTGCGCCGGGCCATGGCGAGGGAGGGAGGGACGGAAGGAGAGGGCAGCGGAGCGCGGCCCCGAACCCGCGGCCACGGAGCCCCGAGCCCATGTGCGGACCGGCACGGCGGGCGGCCAATCAGAGAGCGGTTCTGGACCGGTGGGCGGGGATTACGGAAATGGGCGGGGCCAGATATAGGGAGTGGGCGGGGCCTGGGGCTGTGGGCGGGGGGGGATCGTACGCAGCGTGGCCACGGGGCTGGGGGTTGCAGGGACCCCCACATTTCTAAGCCCCCCAAATGTGGCAGCGGGACGTGCTGCAGCCCACAGCTCGGCACCATGCCTGCGCAGTGCCTGCTCACACGCTAAGTGCTCCAATGCCCCAAAATCCCATGTACCCCTGGCGCACTCCCAGACCACCCTGTGCCATCCTAGCCCCTGCACTCAGCCCAGGGACACCACGGGGTCACCATGGGGACACCATGGAGGCACCATAGGGACATCAGAAGGACACCCTGGGGACACCACAAGGGCACCGTGGGGACACTATAGGGAGGGACATCATGGGGACAATGTGCAAACACTGTGAGGACACCATGGGGACACAATAGGGACACCATGTGGCACCAGGCAGACACCATGAGCACACCTTGGGGACACCCCGGGGCACCCTGAGGGACACCATGGGGTCTTGGCAGGGGCATCACAGAGACACCGTGGAGATACCACAGGGACACTGTGGAGGCTCCATGGGGACACTACAGGGACAACATGGGGACACGGTGCCCTACAGCTGGGGGCGGTTGGCAGGCTGACAGTGAGGCAGTCATTATCATTGTTCTGGAAATCACAGGATTTTCTGCTTCCTACAACCAAATATTTGCTCAGGAGCACTTCAGGTGTTCCCTTCCCAGGTGCAGGTGCCATGGGGGGAGCCTGGCAGAAGCACCCCGGGCATCTCCAGCCCCTACGTGATGCACAGAACAGCACAGTGTGAGCTGAGCCCTCCCCCAGTACAGCCCACAGACAGAGGCAGACGCACGGCACGCATGAATCTGTTTATGTCCCAGTCCATCTCCGGGGGCAGGGAATGATGACATGATGACATGGTGACACGGTGACATGTTGTCCCTCCTCAGAGCCGTGCGGCTGGCTGGTCGTACACGTGGTGGGTGTTGTAGCGTTGGATGGACACCGAGTCCGGACTGAAGCTGCCCACGCCGCACGCCTCGGAGCTGGGGGAGGACACAGCATGGGGACACGGCACGCTGCTGCACCCGTTGCCATCCCTTGTGCCCTATGGGACTCACCTGCACAGCATGGTCAGGAAGGCGGCCAGCAGGACGGCCAGCAGCACCGACAGGATGGCAGCGATGGCGATCATGGCACCGCTGCGGCCACCGCCCATACCAGGGCTGCTTGGGGTCTGCTGGGCTGCTGGGAGAGCAAAATAGGGCTGTGCCTCACCTGCCCTACTGTCCCACCCCACTGCGTGCCACCCTCACCCTGGTACCTGTCTTCAGTGTGATGGGCTCCGACCACTGCGTGGTGGCTATGGGCTCAGAGCCATTCCGCGCAAGGAACTTCACCCTGCGGAGGAGATCAAGAATCTCTAGGGCTGGAAGAGCCCTATCAGATCCCCGAGTCCAACCCCGACCTCAGTGCCACATCCCTGCAGCTCTTAACACCTCCAGGGACATTGAGCCCCCCTCCCTGGCAGCTGTGACACTGCATCACTGCCATTTCTGAGAAGAAATTGTTCCTAACAACCCACCAATAGGGCCCAGGGCCGGGCAGGGGCCCATTGCAGTTGGGTACAGAGGCGTCGTGAGCACAGCTGGTCTCGCTGCCCACACGCAGCACAGTGAGCTCCCCATTGGGTTCAAGGCAGCGGTAGTGATACTGCATGGTACCCAGCGTCAGGTAGGCTGAGGTGTTGGCAGGGAAGCGCTGGAAGCTCCACTCGGGCATCTCCGGCTCTGCACTGTCACTGAAGTTACTCTTGCCTGCGGGGATGGGGATGGCAGTGAAGGGGAGCACTTCGGTAGAGCCCCATCCCTCCGTCACCCCACTCACCTGCACTGGTAGCCACCACCAGCCAGATTTCGGACGTGTTGTACTCATCAAAGACGCAGCGGGGCTGCTCCAGCACAAAGGTGCTGCCCGTCACACGGCCCCCCAGGTTGGCACGAGTCAGGTGGGGTTGGTAGGACAAATTGACTGCAGCAGAGCAATGAGAGCAGGGCCGGGTGGCTGTGGGATCTGGGCACGGGGAGGAGGGCAGCTCCGCACAGCCACCACCCGTTTTGGACTCAGATGCTGCAAATATTGTGAAAAGGGGCAGCAGTGCCATCACCAGGGAGACCCCAGGGGACCCTGTGCTGTGCTGCGGGCTGAGCTGGGTGACACCAAAGAGGGTCCCAGTCTGCGGTGTCACCCACAACACCCATCCTCCAGAACAGATCCCCTCTGCATGCACAGGAGACACCTCCAGCCAGCAGACCCCCCCCCCCCCAACCCCATTATTTGGGGCCACGAGCCCCCTGTGGTGCACACTCACCCAGGCCGTGGGCTGTGGCCAGCAGCAGGAGCAGCAGGAGCAGCAGCGGGCGCATGGTGCTGGTGCCGAGCTCGGAGTGCGGGCGCAGGGCGGGGGCCAAACGCCTTGTCCCCCCCGCAGGACCCGCCTGCGGCCTCCAACCACCCACATTCCTGTGCGGCCGCAGCCCCGCGGCAAACAGGTCGGGCTCGTTTCCCTGCAGAGCATTACGCTACGGCTGGGTGCCTGCTGGGTGGTGTGCTGAGCACTGTCATGCTCGTGGCATGGGTGGGTCCCAAAGTGCCATTCCCAGAAGGGGACCCTTGGGATGGGTGAACCCACGTCCTGGTGTCCCCGTCCCATGGCGAACAAAGCATCCAGCATTGTACGAGCCTTGTGCCCCGAGATCGTAGAACAACCGCAGGACCGTGGTTTGAGTTAGACTGGCCCCACTGCCCGCAATGCACGTGAGCTCCATCAGCCCTCAGAGCCCCTCCAGACTGACCCTGGGGGTCTGTGGGGACGGCACACCCAGCACATCCAGGCCATGTCCTGGTGGTTGGGACACCAAGCAACAGAAGAAGACAACAAAAGAAGCAATAAAGGATGGAAGTGATTTTACTTGGTGGGCCATGGGCCATGGGGCCGCGGCGTGCAGCCACAGATGCAGGCGGGGGGCAGCGTGTGGGGCAGGGCTGGAGGGACATGGTGGGTCCTGTAGGGCAGGTGGGCGCCCAGGTCCCGGTGGCACAGGGGGACACACACCTGGGTGCTGTAGGAAGAGATGGGTGAGGCATCAAGCAGGGTCCATGCAGCTCAAACACCGCAGAAACCACCCCATCCCATTGCCAAAATACAGCAACCCTCCTGATTTACGAAAAAAAAAAAGTCTTAAAATCCCCATGCCCCACTCGTACCCCACAGCTCCCAGCATGGCCACAGCCAGCGCGGCACCCAGGCTGGCCAGGATGGCGGCGATGATGACCGCAGTGCTGCTGCGACGTGCTGGTGTGGGGTCAATGGTGCTCAGGCTGCGAGCTGGAAAGGCATGGGGTGAGGGGTGGCACCCGGGGTTAGGATGGCACAGGGACATTGGGGAGCTCTTCTCCCCTTTGGTTTTGGGGTGGTGTGGTACCTCTCCGCAGGAGGATGGGGTCGGACCACTTCGTCTCCGCTTTGGGGCCGCTGCAGCCCATCAGCAGGAACTTCACCCTGCAGGATGGGCACCTCTGGCACCGGTATGGGGGACAGTGCCATGTCCCATCCCACAACCTCACCTGTAGGGCCCCGGGGAGGGCAGTGGCCCATTGCATGGTGCCCGACCATGGCACGCCGTGTCCCCGCCGACCCGCAGCACGGCTGCACCGGGAGCTGAGCATCCATAGGCGGCCGCTGCCATCTCCAGTGTCATGTAGGCACGGGCGGTGGGCAGCCCCTCATATGGGGGCACCTCAGCTCTGGATGTGGGGTTTTTGAAGGCGGTGGAGGCTGCACGGCACAGATGGATGAGCAGTCGGGGGTGAACACTCCCAATGCCCCCCACTGCAACACATGCTCACCATCAGCGAAAGCCACTGCCAGCCAGACGGCATCGGAGGCATTGGCAAGGGGGTCAAAGATGCAGCAGGGTCTCTCCAGCACAAAGGTGGTGGCCGTCACCTTCCCTGGCATGGCGTCAGGGGCCAAGCGGGGCACGTAGGGCAACAGGGCTGGGATCACAGCAGTGAGTGAGAGGCCCCCCAGCCACACACAGCCCCTTAAACCCCTCCCCAGCACCGCTACCCACAGGAAGCCCCTCACAGCCCCCCAGATTCACCCAGGCCAGCAGCTGCGTCCATCCCAGCCAGCGCCAGCAGCACACTCAGCAGCTCCATGGCAGTGTCTGTTCTGCACCGACCCGCTCCGTCCCACTGCTGAGGGGCTGAGCTGCCCCCGTGCCCCCACCAAGCACGGCCCTCCCAGCCCCACATTCCTGCACTGGCTCCACCAGCACAGCAGGACCCTGCAGGCAGAGAGGGACAGGGCTCCTCCCAGGTCACCACAAGTCCCAAAAACAGCCCTGAGCTTTTTGACCCCAGTCACAGGACACCAAAGATGCAGCCACTGCTGTATGATGCAAAAGGGGAAACTGAGGCACAGAGGTGACACTGGAGCTGCATTTGAAGGACCGGTTGGCAGGACTGGGAAGCCTCGTTAGGGCTATGGGGGAAATAGGGTGAGTGCCCTTCCACCCCATTCACTGCAATACTGCCTGAAACCCAGAAGTGCCCCATGACTCCCTGGCACACAGAGCCAGATTGTGGGTGCAGCCAGCATTGCCCTGAAGGCAGGGAAGCGCCTGGAGCCATCACACCCCAAACTCACCCAAAACCCAAAGCGCTGAAGAGCGACTGGTCCCACCCAGTACACAGGGTGGGGTGGCAGCCAAGCTGCCATCTCCCAATTCTTGCCCCTTGTGGGTTTCGGGGCTAGGCTACCTTCTCCTTTCTCACCCAGTAAGAATTTCCTCCCCCCCCCCCCCCCACTTTCCCTCCCCCTCCAACCCTTGACATGGGGATGCAGATAATGCTGCCCCCGGGCAGGAGCTGTGCCAAGGCTCAGGGCCACCCCAGCAGCAGGGCTGAGTGCTCTCTGCACTGTTTGCCAAGGGCTGGGGCTGCCACTCCTCTGTACGAGAGGATTTCTGACTTCTCCTTCAGATTAAGCGGAAATGGGGCATCCAGAGATTACAGCCCTGCTGGGGAGGGGAAAACCTGGCTGCAGCCAGCCTCCCTGCACTGGGACTAGAAGGCATTCTGTGCGAGCTTCCTGCTGATACTGAAATGGGAGGAGCTGCTCATTGCAGAGACCTGGACAGACCAGAGAGCTGGGTGCATCTGTGAACAGCTGTTTTCAAAGGTGAAGGAGAGGAGGAGCAGTATTTCATCAAAACTCTCTGACAAACACCTTGAGAGCCCGATGAGAATTGCAACCACTTCCCCTGAACCACACATCAATGCATGAGTTTCATGGAAACAAGTGCAGGCAGCCTGCTAACTTTATGGTTTTGTCGCTGGTTTTTTACATTTTAATTTATATATATATATATATATATACACAAAAATAAGTTTTGTTACTTACATACGTTAACTCAATAATATATTTTGTATGAGGCCCAGAGGAATTTTTCTTCACTCAACACAGCCCAGGCAAGCCAACAGGTTGGACATCCATGGATTACACAGACCAGCTGGGGAGGGGAGAACCAGGCACAGCTGCAGTCAGTTTCCCTGTGCTGGGAGGGAGGAGCTGGAGAAACCCAGGCACAGCAGCAGCTGCTGTTGGGGACGCTCCAGAGCCGTGCCTTCAGTGCTCAGTGGGTGACACCATGTGAGTCAGGCTGACAACGCAGCACCCAGCCCCACACAGCCGCCAGGTGGGGAGGCTGCAGCTGACTGACGTACAGGAGCGCTCACTCAAGGGCTGGCTCCAACTACCTGCAGCAGGAAATTCTTGCTTCGTGTTGAGAATTTTCACTTCAGCCCTCTGCTTTGCTCCCTGGGACATCAGCAGGGGATAGAAAGCTGAGCTGTAAACTAGAAACCTCCCTTTGGCAAACAGGGCAGAACAACATCATCTTTCCACAAAGCCCTGCAAACCACAGCTAGCTCAAAAGAGCACCCTGCTTTGGCAGCATCCCCAAACAAAGCCAGCAATCATTCTCTCCAAAAAGCCTGTGTGTAGCAGAGGGTGGTAACTGATGCTCAGAGGGTTAAGCAAAGGGGGCAAGGACAAAAAGGACACTGGATACAAGCCCCCAGCCCTTAATGTCTCCAAAAATCCTTTCATTTTCGTATGGGCATGACAGAGGGAGGCTGCATAGAGAGGAGCATCACAGCAGCAAAAGGGATGAGGGAAGCAGAGGGCCTGTCACCACCCGGTGGCACCAGCACTCCCTGCAGCACCACCCCACGCCAACAGCACAGAGCTGCATCAGGCACAAAACCCCAGCAGCTGTCCACAGGGACAAGCACAGCTCCACAACTGCTGCTGCTGCTTCCAGGAGGGGGGGAGGCAGGGGTGAAACAGCAAGCCAAGCTCCCGGGCTCAGCACATGGCATCCTGCCCCTGCAGAGAGCCAGGGTCCTCCAGCAGAGCTGAGCTTCCCCTCCCTTCTCCTGGCTGGATCAAGTGACACCAGCTCCACAGAGCAGACCAGTCCCTCAGAGGGGGAATCCTGAGCCACCACGCAGGATGAAGGCAAAGCAGCAGCTCTCCATGGAAATGAAGTGTTTATTACAACCAAGAGATACAGGTATCTGCTACAGGGGCAGGAGGCTTTGCTCAGAAGAACTGCAATGAGAAGGAGGGAGGCCCTCCTCTTTCCAAAGTGCTCTTACGGAAGAGACGCTCCTGTCACCCCAGACAGCACCAGGACTGGGGTCCTGCCTTCACAAGGGGCCCTGTCACCTCACCACCTCTCTCCCAGCTGCAGACACCAACCCTACCTGGACATACAGTCACGTTTTCTACAAAAATAGCTTCCCTCCAGGAGAAAAAAAAAAAAAAAAAAAAGACTGTACAGAGTACACAGCACTCCCACATGACAGAATTATTGCTTAGGGTGACAGATGGTTAGACACAGGAACTTAAGGCAACACGATTAAGTGCACTGGGTGGGCCCCTGGGCAGGGGGCCACAGAGATGTGCACAGCCCAGCTGAGCCCCTCAACACCACTCATTTTCTGAGGCAGTCCTCGGTGACGCCCTGGGCAGCCAGCTCTGCCAGCACATTGTCCAGGTAGTTGGGGTCAGGGTAGCCGTGGCCACTCAGGTTTGTGTCCATCTCTGTTTTGTGGTGGATCTCATTCCATACCACCGTGTTGCTCTCACCAGTGGTGCTGGAGGTGCCCACTGTGAAAATCAAGCGCCTGTTCCAGGCCACTTTCAGGAGCTCCAGGACCTGGGTGGGGAAAGATAGGAAGGAAGAAAGTCAGAACTGTCCTTCAGCAGCTAAAGCCATGAAAGCTGCTTGCCAGAAGCTTAACAGCCTAAATCCCTGCTGTAGCAGGAAACCAAGGAAACAAGATCCCTTCCAACCACTGGTGTATCCCCCTGCCACTTATCTGGTGCCCCAGTAGGAAAACCCATCACACAACACCTTACCTTTCTGCCTTTCTCATTGTCTGGTAGGTAGCAATAGCGAGGAAATCCCCTTGCTGTGTAAGGCATCCCTGGGTTGGGGTGCTCAGGGCCCTGCAACAGAGAAGACGTATTTGGCACTTTCATCCTCAGAGAGCAGCAAAAATGGGGTAAGCACGAGGATTTGGCAGTCCTATACCAAGGCAGCTCTCCACGTGAAAGCAGCAGAGCACTGCTAATTGTAGGAGGTATCTGACAGGTTCCTATGGGACGTGCTACATCATGGGTCCTCCAGGAGGCGCCTCAGCTGGGATACAGGTAAAGCCAGCTCTTCAGATTATGTGAGTTCTGGTGGCAGAAAATCCCATACCACAGCTTTTCCACATGGCCTGAGGAAACTCTCAGAAGAATGGCATCTTTGGCAGCTGCTCAGCAATGGGCTGCCTGCAGGCAGCACGTTGGTGCCCTGTACTTTTGTGTGAGGGAGGGGCCCTCACAGCTTCAGCCAGCAGGCTGCAGCTGTTGCCAGGGGCAAGCTATGCTCACCTGAATGCCTCTGCTGATGTGGTACACAATCTGGATTGTCCCACAGTCCCTGTGGCCAGGAAGGGATTGAGGGAAAGTGGAGACCTCCATTTTGCCTTTGGGCTGAGTGCCAGTTTTCTCTCCATAGATGGTCTTACAGGAGGGGCACTGCAAGCTGCCATCCTGTGGGGAGAGAAGCAGGTGTCAGAGCTCTGCAGTGCATCGCCCAGACACAAGGCACACGGGACCTGGTGGGGATGGACTGGCTCAGTACCTTGTTTCCATTGGAGTACATGGCCAGCACACAGAGCATGTGGAAGGAGTGCTGGCAGTTCGTCAGGCGACCGACCATCTCTGCCTTGATTGTTCTGCATTCACAAGCGTCGCTGTAACCTGAAGGAGAGGCCAGCTTCTCCATGCAGATGATACAGTCCTGGAGAACAAGACAGCAAGGAGAAGGCGACTGTGCAGCACCTTATGGAGCAGCTAGACAGCTCGTGTACACCCCCACAACTCCTCACCTCATCTGCAGGAGTGCCCTTCACCTCCACCAGGTACTTCTTCACCACTGCTTCTGGGTCAGTTGGTGCTGCTGCACAAGAAGAGAGGAGAAAGACATCAGACATACCATGAGGTATACAGGCACTGCAAGGTGACAGTAACTGGCCAGCATGCCAACGAGAAAGGTATGGGTTAGAAAGGACAGAAAAGGCTGCTCCAGCCAATCCACAGAAGCCCTCCAAAAGTTCCTCCTGCCAGGAACAGCTGGAGCTGGGACTGAGTGCTGCAGATGGGAGAATCCACAAGCACAAACCTCTGTGTGCTCACAGGTTTCCCATTAAGAGGATGGGAAATGCCATGTAGCAGTGGATGCTTGCACCCTGTGCAGCACACTTTGGGGAACCACCTGCAGCTGCTGTGCTCTGGGTGCCCTTCTGTATCCCAAGTAATGTCGGACAGCCCCAGCTGAACTCCAACTCAACTCAAGGACACAGCAGACTCAGTGGGAAAGAATTCTGTCACAGGCTATTAGAGGAGAAAAGGCATTCCCACACCACTCAGCTGACAAGGAACTTTCCCATACCAGGAGTAAGACACTGCCAAACCCTGCAGCTGGCCACTTCAGGAGAAACCCAGCCATATACTGAGCAGCAGACCTTATCTTGAGTACAGCAGAATTAGCCTTGCATCCTTAACACACAACAGTGTCTTTTCTCTTGAGCTTTTA